TTTTTTTACTACCAAAAAAAACTCCCGACGAGCGAGTGAGGTTGCGCGGGGGGGGCTATCAAGCGCCCTTAAAACAAGAAAAATCGAGAAAGTCAACAACCTAACATTGCTCTTGAGAGCATGTACTCTCCGTTATACATGTGATCGTTACCCATACTCTGTCATGACAATAATGCTAGTTGGGTTTTGTAACTCTGAAGTGAGGAAGAGGAGGAAGAACTAAAACACGACAAGTAACAATGCAGCGACTAATTCCGCTCCTCTTTTCCCCTCTGAAAAATGCAGTGACCCTCTGCACCCCTTCAGCGCTAAAGGATCGCAGGCAACCAGGGTCCATGCAGCTTAGTTTGAAGGCGCAGGAAAGCGAGCTTGGGTAATCTAAGTGTACTTCAGGACATCCGACTAGCGCGCGAATTATTGTTTCCCAGCTAGTAAATTTGAAGCTGCATCATTGCGGTCTGCGAGTATCTGTCTAGGCGATGCCTTCCTCTACCTTCCTTCTCTCCTCCTCTTCCGCATTTTTCTCTTTTCATATGCTAGGCCTCAATATGCGATAAGAAATGCCTTCAGATCCTAGTAGCGAGAGAACATCCGGCTGACACAGCCCTGTAATCGCTCTCGGAAGAAGAATGTTGTACTATAACGCGCCGCCGCGCTCTTTCCCTCCCACAGCTTCATCAGCACACGAAGAAGATTTCTTTTCATACATATGACCCAAAGGCAACAAGAGTTCGTTGTTTAGTAAGGAGGAACATACAAATAAAACGATCGGAAACTCAAAGAACACAAGTCCTACCCGTAAAATTTCGCATAGGTATGCTTGCGAAGAAGTTCGGAGAACGTAGTCTCCTGCTTGAATTCGAGATCCTTCAGCGGATTTCGCAATATCCAGCGAGAACTTCTCACAGAGAACCTATAAATAAACAAACAGTGATGACTTTAACACTCGTTTAGCATTACTCGTCTGGAGGTTCAGACTGCATTCATACTTTACGACATTAGAGTATCGGAATGCGCACAAAGGAAAGTATAAACATCGATCTGGAGATCTCGAGAAATGAGAAAAATGTGCACCAGGGAATAGACGGGGATCAGTCGATTTCGATGCGATTCTTCCAGTTCGCTAGTAAGTGGTGCCAATCCCTCAGATGGTGGAAATCGGGGGGGGGGGGAGGCTGCGAAAAACTCCGCCCTTGTTACTCTTCAGCAGCGAACAGGACTGTAATTTCTCTTCCGTTTGTGCCGAATCGTAAATCCTCAAAAGTGTGAGGACTGCCTCGGAGATGCTAGGTGCTGTTCAAGGTATCGGAAGTGTTACGTTCATCAAAGTGGCGAACAATGTAAGGACATGACTCGTGAGCCTACCCCAGGCTACTTCGGCAAACAGAAAGTAAACGCGAACACTAAGGTGTACACTAAAAGAATGGAAATACTACGATGTCACACTTTTCAAAGAATCTTTCTTTCCCTACCTTGATACCCTTGAGGAAGCAGTCCGCCTTCGCAATTTTCTTGGTACGATGCGGTGCACCTCTCACCATGACGTTTCCTACCTGGACCGACATCAGGAAGAGAAACCTGCAAGTAAAGAGCATTAGCCAAGTGGCGATACTGAAGTTGATCCGTGCTAATTATAGGTACGCCCGTATCCCCAAGGGAGGAGGGGGGAGGGCTTGGCGTCCTTTGAACATGCAGTATGATATTTCGTGGGAAACCTCCATTAAAGACAACTGTTGCCCTGCGTTTTGCTTGGAAAAGACATGGTTGCAGCTGTTCCGAAACG